ATCTTCTCTTACCGGTTCTTATGCCAAAGAAGATATTATTTAGCTAAATCATTGAGTGAGTTTAAAACTCCCTTTACTTTTCATCAACACATTGCTGCACATAACGCTGATAAAGATCTGCATAAACTAAAGAACTCGCGAGTGCAGTATTTCGAAACAGTGTAAGACTTCAAAAAGTACGCACTATCAGTTCACAGATAATGACAATATTTCGGTTAACTTTTGCTAGAGTGCGACATATAAATTTCGCAATATTACAAAAAAAAAGTAAAGGAATGTGCTGTGAATACACTAGCAAGATACCAAAACCTAAACTTAATGTGATACCTGATCAATAGTTGCTTTCACTGTATACACTTTTTCGTTTGGTAGCCTATGTCTTTTTGACCATACACATCCTTGGCACTGATGGATGATGAGTTCGCGAAAGAGTTCCTGTAAAACGGAGCAAATCTGACTGAGCTGATGTGCGAAACGCTTTGAAGTGAAGCAGACGTACAGCATCCCAAAACGTTAGCTGCTCAGCAATTTGAACACAGTTTTCGCTTCCCACGTCAAACATTTTCACTCTGAAAAGTATAACACCATCGTTCTCGGATGTAAATGCTTTAGAAACCACCTCTCTTGCGGATTCCTTGAGTATTCAGAAGCATCGTAGCCGAAAGCTGACGCGAGTTGATCCAGAGATGGAAGTGCCGCTGTAAATGCCTGGATAAAATATCATAGTACAAAATTCGTGACTACCTATCATCCCGCCCTCTTCTTGAATATGTTTGAAACGCTCCAAAAGTTTTCTTGACTTCGCTCGCAGGTCTGACAACCGGCTACGCTGACCAAAGTCTAACAGATTCGTAAGCATGGAAAAATCACAATCAGGATCGTAGAAATCCTCCGGATACATGTCTAACCAGCAGATCAGTATCGATCGGATGGAACTAAATATTCATTAAGGAGATTTACCTTCTTGCAGTGATAAAAAGAAAGAGAGTAAAAACTAACTTTTGTGTGACAAGGGCGGACGTGCTCGAATTCACTTCATTCTCAAGCGACTCGTAGCGACGTAACAACCTGGAAAAAGAACTTTAAGACTACCCAGTACAAGCGATTTAAACTAATGGGAAACTAATTCCGAAATAGACTGAGGCGACGCTAAACAAATTTTTTCGAGACCAGGCGAGTGAGAAAATGTTTATTAAAACGCCCAGTAGGAAAGCTGAGCACACCTGTCCAAAACACTGATCGGCTCGGCAAATGCTCTGTAGGTAGCGAAAAATACGTTGAAATGCCGGGAATCCATAGTGCCATCTGCACCGACGAGGCACTCCTGAAAGAAGGAAAGCTTTAACATTGACGACCCTGGCACATATCTTGCAATTAATCTGGCTGAGCTTTCTTAAGGAGAAACTAAACGAACTACAAGCTTTTCTATCGTTCCAGCCTTAATCACTCGTTCCTTCACACTTTCCCACTGAAGATGATCCGATCCTGGACAGGGACACTGAAGCTGGGGCCGGTCCGGATCGATAGCGCGATATCTCTGCAAAAGCTTACCATATAATTTTTGGGTATAGGTGGAAAGTGAAAAGCGGAAAAAGACGAACCGGAACCCCGTCATACCCCGGAGGAGGCACGTATCTGACCTTCTTCAGATATACGGCATACACAGCATCCTGCAACCGTATCTCAATTATGCAAAAAAATGAGAAAATACTTCTATTACTTCGATAAACTTATTCATTTATAACAAA